TGCTTCTGTTATCATTGCTGAATGTGCACATATGTCTAAGGGAAAGCTGGGTCATAGTTAAAAGCATGTGATTACAACCCTTCCTGTCATTCAAGTATATCTAGACTCACATACCAGAGGCTCTTAGGTAATGGGTAATTTGTTAAGAGTCCAATTGGTATGGGCTCCTCCCACATACATCAGGGAAGAAATGCAGAGGCCAGATTTTCTATTCCCTCCTCCATAAAAAAATATAGCTCATGGCAATGTGAGAGGCTCCCTCCAATATTGGCCCATCACACACTGTCTCAGATGCCGATTCGCTCCTTGGCTGAATATTGCAATGGTCATCTTATAAAGAAACATATATATGAGACAATGCTGGAATGACCTTTTCTGTTGCAAGGCACCATTTTATTGCAGTCTTGTATTCCCATCCTTGCAATCAGAGCAAAATCACCTGCTTTGGGCCATTTGAAAATGGTATGGTCATCCTCCCTGTCCACCACCTTCTTCTTCTTCTGCTACTATAATTAATATGTTTAAAGGAACCAAAACAAAATGGTATGGTCATACTCCCTCTGATTTTTAAAAACACTATGCGTGTATGTGCCATTCTGTTTGGTAATTGGGGTATCCCCATGATGGAACAGCTTGTTTCCTTCATGGGGATGAATCTCTTCATTATGGTATGGTATGACCATACCATACCTGCTTGTGAGGTTTTGAGGAATTTCTAAGGCCTTCTTGCTTATCACTGCTGAAAACAAAGTGTTGGGACAGATAGATGGATCTTTGGGCAGGTCCCATAAGGACATTTTTAAGGCCCATGGACACCAGAGGACACATGGGAAGTTATCCTGATAACACACACACACACACACACACACACACACACCCTTGAAGAACTAGACTTCATGTATTTGGTGATTGCCAGCGCTGATCACCAGTATTCACCTCTCCAGCCAATATGTCTTCTTCACATTGACTTTCAAAAAAATGCATGGCAGAATGAGTGAGAGTATGTGTAGGAGGCATGTCTCTGTTTACTAGTTGTGAGAGAAGATTTATAAGCTACATATTGTTCTGTTTGAAAAGCAGCAGTAATTGTTAATTATGAATAATAATTTATATTTAGTTTTGTTTTGTGTCATTAGTGCCTTTCCATTCCCAAAACACTCAGAGAGCACCATGCCTTAGAATTAAAAGCACATGACACCTGGAGGTACTAGGAGGGGACAAGTTTCCTATTCCCCAAACCTACTGGCCCATTTGACAGCATCAATAGGGCAACAGCATCACCCCTCAAGAGTTGCTGCAGGTGGTATGAACCCTGCCAGAAAGGTCTAAAAATGGAAACACATGTGGCGGCATCTTTCATACTTTCCTGTCCATAAACCAGAACTGCACTAACATGAAAGTTTTGAAATTTTGTTGGCATGTGCACACATGCCCTAGAATTGGCATCTTTGGTGTTTTTACCCATTCCTCAAAACTCTCAAAGTAAAATATCTGTGTGGCCATAGATCCATGCTGACTTCAGTGCACATGCAGTGTGAGTGAATCCTAAAGGATTCAGTGCACAAAGTCTGCTGTTTTACACATTGCAGGTAGTAAGACTCATTTTCTTCTGTTAAATTGGATAGCCTTGGCTTGAGCCACAGTATGGGGGTTCACCCTTAGCCTTGTCTCTGCCAAGGTCGCATAAATCTCCTGGCCTGTCCATCTTTTGTTTCCATGAAGGCTCCTTACTTGGTTGGCAACCCTAGAAGATCAGGGTTCTCAATTGCTCAGGGAGTCTCCAGAGAACTTTCCTGACTGCAGAACCGCATTTTTGCTATGCAAGGGGAGGGAATCGCATGGCCTTAGGAGTGGAGGCTAAAGCTCACAACCACAACCAGCTCCTCTGTGAGATTATACATACATTAACATGGTTACTTTAAAAAATAATAATATTGTTATACTGATGCATAGCAGCAGAGATGAACCTTTGACAATGTGTAACAGTGCAGGGAGAGGGGCATTCAGACAGTGATTCTTGTGGGAATAAAGTATTCCTGTTTCATTTTATTTATTTATATTAATTTTATTACAGATATTTGTATCCCATTCCTCAGTCCACATACTTTCAGAGCGGCTTGAAGTTTTAAAAAGATATAAGCATAAATAACATCTTTAATAATTTAAAAACAGCAGAATCAGCAAAATTTAAATAAAAGACAGGAAATTCCCAACATAAAAAGAGATCTAAGAGTTTACACTGAAAGTCATGGGCAAATGAAAAGAGCCTAGATGGGGAAAGTGCTCTACAACCAGGGTGCCACAACAGAAGAGGCTCTTCCCCTGGAATCCACCTTCCACACTTAAGAAGATTCAGGGAGTTTGTGAAGGGCCTCTGTGAATTATCCTATAACTTGGACATTTTCATGTAGAAGAATGCAGTCCTTTGGGTACATGGATCCCAAGTGCTTTAATTTGTTTATTCAATACACACCCACACCCACCCACACCCCCCGCTGTATCATAAAGATATATTGTAGCAGTTTACAACAAAATAAGACATCAAACCGAGCAATAAAATCATAAAAAGTTAAAAGCAAAAATAAATTAAGAGCAGACATTAATAGACCATTGTCGGGGGTTTAATTGCCTACATAGGCCTGGTGGAACAGAAACATTTTCAGCAGGCAGATAAAAGTTGACACAGAGGGCCCCCGCTGAATCTCTATTGACAAAAGACACTCCTGCAGATGATCTCAGTGATTGAGCTGGAATATAACGGTTTGGGCAATCTCTGTCGTATCCTGGACCCAATTTGTTAAGGGCTTTGTAAATCAATGCAAGAACCTTGATGGGCAGCCCATGTGATGTCATCAGGAAGGGACAACTTTGTTTGGAGTTAGTTGTAATAACACTGAACACATCAGACCATCCCAGGTTTCTTGATAATGGAGTGAGAACCAACACACTGAATGATGGCAGGAAAGGGATCAGCAGTCAGTGCAGTTGTTTGCAGTGGCAAGGAATATTAACCAACCAATCTCCATTAGTAATCTTGCTGCTGCATTGTGTATCAGCTGAAGTTTCTTAGTAGTCTTCAAGAATTATCCCCTCATACAAATTGCTATACACATCCAAACAAGATGTTACCAGAGCATGGATAGCCATAGCCAGGCTATTTCTGCCTAGTTGCAGCAGCTGCACCACCCGTGGTTGGTAGAAGGTGCTTTAAGCTGCAGAAGCTGCTTGGGCCTCCAAAGAGAAAGCCAGATCTAACAACACACCCAAGCTGTGGAGCTGATCCTTAGGGGGAATGCAGCCCTATCCAGAAGAGATTGAGTTCCTTCATCTTATCTCAACTGAGCTTCAGTTTACTGGCCCTCTTGGGGACTCCACATATTTAGCACATCTGCTAATTCACCTAAATCTGATGAAAAGGAGACCATGAGATTAGATATCATCCTCATATTGTCAACACCTCATTCCAAACCTCCAGATGATATCATCCAGTAGTTTCACATAGGTGTTAAATAGCACAGAGGACAAAATAGAACTCATAGGACGTCTTCCATTAGGCAGAGTGATAAGCTCCTGGCATCGCTTTCCAGAAATGGCCTTCAAGATAGAAGTGGACTCACAGGAATGAAACACTCCACTTCCCATTCCAGATACCCTATCCAGAAGGATGATCTGGTTACTGGTATTCCAAGCCACTAAATGGCCAACAAGAATGAGCAGTGTTGCTGTCCCCCCATGTCCTTCTCTTGGCATAGGCCATTCATTAGGCTGACCAAGGCTGTTGGAGTTCAGACCTAGACCTGAAGCCAGAATTGAAATGGGACCAAACAAATAATGTGCAAATGCATGCCTCAGTTTCTCAGTTGTTAAATAAACACATAAAATGACAGAGAGCTACAATCCAATGACATCAGTGACTATTGAAGTAATCTCTATGACAGCAGGTGTGGACCTGGAGACAGATAACTACTTGAGAAAAGGGACATAGGGATTTATGTTCCATCTCCAGAATGAATGCATTATGTGGATTTGGGCAAGTGATTATCTCTCAGCCTCAGCTGGACATCCTTAAAATGGGAATGGGAGTGATCTACCTCTCAGGAATATTTGAGGGAAAACACAAGGACTTTTGCAATGCCCTTTGCCCATTTAAAGAGCTATATATATAGTGGTGTTATTATACCAGCCTCCTGAAACCTACTTGTACAAAGCTGCAGAAGTGACTGGCAGAATGCACAACATGCCCCCAGCATCCTTAAGCACCTTAGTGAGAGATTTTGTGAGACAATGCAAGCCTGCAGTATTAGCACTTGAAGCACATTAATTTTAATAATAGTTATCAGAAAATAGCACTTTTATGGCACAATATTATGCCAGGGGATTTACAACAGACTGAATCATGCCATTCGTAATTAAAGTTATTTTCATTTCTAATTTCATCTTAATTTCATTCCAATAAAAGATATGACAAATACTACATTAAAATATAAAAACCATTACTTCAGACAATTTCCTTGTGTTAGGCTGTTACGGAACACAAAATCTCCACGCGAATCATTGGCAGCACCAGAAGGGAAAGCATGACCGGTGACAGGCAAGGCTCTCCTTCAGTCCCAGGAACGATGCCGTCTTGCTGCCGTCGGCTCCAGCAGCAGTGAACAGGCCGTGCAATCAAGGCAGCTTCCCACGTTCCCAGACTTGCCAACACGGGAGCACAGCTGTGTCTGAGAATGTAATGCAGGACTTGGGAGATTGCCAGCTCAGAGAGAGGAGGTACTGCTGCTGACAGGAATGACGAGGAATCAGTGCCGTAACCTGGGACATGTCCCTTCTCTGTAACTTTCCCTTGAAACAGGGAAAGAAAATGTTAGCAAGCATGTTTTGAGAATTCTTCCCTGAGTCCCTGTTGGAGTCCCCATCTCAAGCCCTTTCTTCTGGGCCAATAATAAGTGGTTGGAAAGTACCTAAGAAGAACAAACCTATACATGTCCATGAGGGAAGAAAGCCATGGTTCAGGGGAAGAACGCATGCGTTGCATGCAGAAGGTCCTTGGTTCAATCCCCAGCATATCTAATTTAAAAGGATTCATTCAGCCTCCCCCTGAAGTGTGACCGCAGCTGAATAGGCGTGCACCACTGATCTACGTCCTTTCATTTCATTTTGAATTTTTATATTGTGCTTTACTGTACTCTTGCGTTATACACCACTTTGATTTTTTTTTCCATGTTAAGCAGTATATACACTTGTATAATAAACAAATGAATAAAAATGATCCCTTGCAGAAAGGCTTCCTATAGGCATCTCATATGCCGCTGAGGAAAACAAGGAGCTAGACAAGAGAAGCCGTTGGTTTGATCCAATGAGAGTCTTAAGATCTTAGGTCATGTTTTTATCCTTCCTACCTTAATCAATCAATGGCTCTGGGAAGGCAACAAGCACAAATTAAAGAGCTAGAATTTGACTTAGGGCTTATCCACACTTGTGCCATGCTTTTCAGGCACAGGTCTGTATCTAAGCAGAAGTGTGGATGAGCCCCAGGTCACCAGGTGACCTCAGCCTAGGCACTCTCCTCTCTCAACCCATCCGGTCTCATGGGGTTGATGTGATGGTAAAATGAAGGCCATGCTCCATGGAAGAAAGGTAGAGTATAAACATAATAAATGCATAAATAATGTTGTAATCCTAGCTCCACTTTCTTAAAAGTAAGCCCCATTTAATTCAATGGGATTTACTTCTGAGTATACAGGATTGCAGCACATGGAGATGTCAGTGGAGAAAGATCAGGAGAAGAGGAGGTGGGGTCACTGTGTGCATGCTCTCTACCTGGTCTGAGCCTCGCTCCTCACAAATTATTTTAAATACCTGAAGAAGAATTGATTTCCTGTGCTTTCCTTACATACTGTATTGTGTGAGCAAATGTATTCTCGCCTGCTTGTTGATCTGATCAACAATGCTGAGAACCAACAGAACAATCCTATGCAGGATTCTGAACACACTTACAAGGAAGTAAACCAGTTTTATTCAATGAGATTTATTTCTCGGGGGGGGGGATATTTCTCAGAAATAGATCTTAAGGCTGCATTGGGGTTTTGCTTCCATGACTCTCTGAATCTTGTCCCTTCTATTTTTGACCAATAAAAGTGCTGTCAGCTACATGATTTGTTTTAGGAAATCTCGAAAAATATATATCTTGATTTACTGAGGCCCACCCAGGATGCCATTTGAGAGTGCCCTGCTCTTCATTTTATCCTGCAGTGGAGATAATGCTTGGCTCACAGAAGGTATGCAAAGGATTAGCAGTCAGGGAATATTTGCAAAGTGTTTAGAAGGCAAAGCAAACACCATATGTACTAATACGGTTATTATTATTTATGTAGGGCCATGAGGGTGATCAGTTAGTATGAAACAAATAGAAAGAAAAATGCTGCAAATCTTTTCACAATCCAAATGATTATTATTAACAGTGGAAAGCAGGAAATATATAATTGAGGGGGGGAGAATAAGAATAAAAAGGCTGTTAACAGCAGTTCTATACCCCGGCCCGATATACTTATTTCCCTCTCTGTGTCAGGAATGACACTTCCACTTGCCTGATGTTGAGGGTAGCTGAAATCTGAAGACCACAGACTTGATTTTATTGTGTTTGAATAACAATGGCTGCTTAGCATAAATAAATTGCATTTCACTTCACATTTACAAGAGAATTTAACAAAAGAGGAAATAGGCCATAATCTGTATTAAATACTTTGGTTGTTCCTTAACCCTGAACTACACCAACACACGTAACTCAACCATCATCCACACAAATAAATAGAGTCAAATTGCAGACCTTGTTCCTACACCTGTCCTCTCTTAATTTTCTTGAGGTCTCATTTCCAATTGACTTCCATTGGTGTTTTCCTAAAATGACAATCTGCAGGACAAATGTTTCTGTCAGGAGCTGGAGTCAGGACTAGGTCAGCAATAAAAAACACCGGTATCAGCAAAGTTTACTCTTTATTCAAAGAAACCCAAAAAAGTGCAGGCCTAGTGATTACAGCAACTCTTCCCAGTAGGTCTTGCCCTAATGAGGCAGTTCTGACGACTGAAGATCCCCACCATCCACCACTCTCTAAGGCTCCTCTCCAGCAGCCTAAGACTCCCTCGTCTTGTCTCTCGTTGCTCCACCCTCTTCATTTATCTGTGTGTTCTGGGAATCCAGGGGAGAGGGGAGCTGGTCACAGAAGGAAGGAGAGACTCGCTGGCTTCTTCAGCAGCCTGCCTCATCTCTGCCTCTTGCCCCCCTTCCTCTCCAGCCTCCACTTCAGCCTCAGAGTCTGCACTGCTCTGACACAGCCTCTTGCTGCTCACTAAACCCTGTTTCCTCTTCAGCTTTCAACACCTCCTCCTCCCAGTCTGGTCCCTCTTCTCCCTCTAACCATGCATCATCGTCCCACCACCCATCCTCTGGCCCTGAGCCTTCTTCCCTTGGGGGTTCCCAGCTGGTGCCTCCCACCACCCACTCCTCTGCACCCAGCCAGTCCATGACATTTTCCACTTTGGGAGATACACGGAAGTGCAGAATTGCCTTGAATCACTTTGGAGACCCCTGATACGGAAAGACTGGAGGCATCCCACTTCAGCTCAAATGTATCAGAAATCCTTCTGAACCATCCCAATTTGACTTGGGATTTGTCCAGATCCGATGCACACCCTCTACTTGAAAAGCTATCCTCAGCTGCCCAATGCATCAACACTATTCTGCCTACCCGCACATCAGCACAATACTTTTGCACACATACACACCACACACTTTAGTTTTGTTGTTGCCATAGGACTATAAGCCACAATCTTCTCTCTAAATAACATCTTTAAGCACAGTTCTCATCCCCATTTCCAGACTGTTCCATTTACAGCAGCCTTAAAGATGGCAAGTACATTCCATGCTTGTGTGAATGCAATGTTTAATAATGAATGACCACAATCAGCCTATGATTTACCAATTATTAATTACAGCACCTCCATTATTCCCCCCCCCCAGCTCACCTCCTCCTCTCACTAGAGATGCCACACCATGGGAGCTGGCAATTGTTTCTTAAAATAAACAATGCAGAGGTCTGTCACTGTCATACATCAGAGACACAAGTCATCCACCGACAGAGAGCGAGAGAGATAAGCCATGGTGTTTGATGTAGGGCGCTTAGCAGACAGGCATATGGTAACTCTTTCTGCATCTGGACAATTAATCACAGATGCTTCCTTTAACTTACTACAACCCAGCCTCCCTCCCCCCACTCAAAAAGGATAATGGGACTAGGCAAACATTTGAAATGTATTGCTGACTTCAAGCCCGCTGCTCTTTCCCCTCTGTGGGCTTTCCAGGATTCTTAAGGGGGCTGGAACAATGCCAGAGCAAGGGCTGATGCTAGAGGCATCACTTGCTCAAACTGTATCTCTTTATTGCCTATCGGAGGAGGGCATTTCAAAGGAACAAGAGATGGGGCTACAATTAATGGGAACGGGAATATGCAGGGTACACAAGGAATGTGCCTTATACCAAGCCAGGCTGTTCGCCCATCTAGCACAGCATTGGCTACTCTACTCTGATTGACAGGCGCTGGCTTTCCAGGGTCTCAGGCAGAGTTTTAGTTCTGAATAAGACAAATCATCCCTTTTCCATTGTACTTCTTCTATCTTTCAGTGCTGATTCATACATGCAGCAATTGCTGTCTCACCCTGCATGTAATGTGGATTGAATCTGCAGCAAATACTGGAAAGATAATCCAAAAGTACTTGTCTGGTTGCTTAAAATACAAGTTTTCTTGCTTCGGTACCAATATCTAATTTAATAAAATTAACGGTGTTGAGGAAATTAGCATTGTGTTGATAAAAGTGTCCAAAATCACCCAGTGGGATTGACCTTTCTGACAGCAGCTTTCTTATTCTTCCCGCTCTTTATTCCACACATCCTCTTGTTTAATACAAACCAAATCTATCAATTTTCATTTGACAAATATTGGAGGGCATGCTATTGTGCAGCTTTGATCTGGCAACTCTAAGCAGGATTATTTGTCAGTGACAGCACGTTAATGTTAAGCAATTACCCATTTCTGGGATAAGTGCTACATTTCGGATGTCAGAAGTGGAGATGGCTTGGAAACAGCCCCAGGAACCAGGTAGCACCATCTCCCTTCTCATCAGACACTGGATTCAAGCAAGGCTATCAGGAGCCTGCCAGTCAGTTAATGCGGCAAAGACACACATACACAGACGCGAGCACACGCACACACACTTTTCCAGGAAATTGCTTGGCACCATGCAGTGCTGACGTCTGCCTGTGATGTTGTAAAATGCAGTGTTTTGACATCACTACAGGATCACAGCAAAGAATTCACTGAGGCTGGAAGAGTGGAACTGAATGGAAAATGGCTTGAGTGAGGGGAATGCAAAATAGCTCTGCTTGCTCAAAAACATGGAATGGAGCATGACGGAAATCATGCGGATGGTTAAGTCTGAGGAATGACTGAAGAGAGCTAGGAAGATTTGTGCACAAGAGAAAATAGGCTGCTGCCTCAACATGCTCATGCCGTAGTTAAACTCTAGCAGCACTCTTTGTCCTTTTTGCTTATAAAGACTAATGACTGATTCTGTACACACTGGAGTCTGTGACCTTTTGGGTGTGCAGAGTGCTTGTGCTTTCCAAGTGCATAGATCTGAAGCTCCTTTGGTATCGTTTCATGGCTGTGGCTCCTCACTTCCAGGGTTCCAGGGGCAGCTGCAGGGAGCTTTGACTTTGGGTGCTTATGTTACATCAGTTTATGTTCAAATGCATACATGTTGAGCATAGGGAAGAAGGTAAGTACTCAGACTGTGTTGCTCTGTAAATCAGCATCAGTACACAGTCACTGAGGAACCACCTTCAAGCTCTTTTTCCTAGACAGAAGCAAAATGCAGACCTCCGTCTCCTTTGATGTCCACACTGCAACTCCCAACTGCTTTCTCTCCAGCCTCCTCCCATTCATGATTGTGAGGTGTGTCATAGGTGGCAGCGGCCACCAGCCACCAGCACCACACATGAGGAACCTGTGGCCCTC